AAGGGCCGGGATGTCGTGTCACAACCAGCAATAGCATGAAGAAACAAAATGTTTTACACAGAGATTCACCCAGCTCTGATCTCACTATTCTCATGTTCCATACTCTTTCCGTTCTACGTTTAGTTGTTTTCTTTGGTTCTGGACGAAAATAAAGACCACATCCCTCATCCACTTTGACGTAATAGCACATTAAAACAAGAAGATCTGTATCATCTCCAACAAGAACGGTAGGAGATTTCATGGCACTTGAAACAGCTGACTTTACTATGAGAAGATCAGCGTCGCCATCGGCTTGGAGTGTAGTACAGCCATTCAAATCCAGATAATTTCGAAGAGTAGTTATAAGTCGTTTCTTATTGTGTATATTAGCCAGGAATACATCTCTTTTCATTGTTATCTTCATGTCAGCTTTGAATGACACTGTTGCCCCAACCTTTCCGGATGATCTTCGTTGTTGCGCCATGTTCTTAGTAAATGGGTTATCATAACCGTCAAAAACAATACAACTTCCTGCCCCATATTTCTGTTTTACATAGTGGCAGTACTTCTGGCACAATTCTTGAAAGGTTGCTTTCTTTCGCCATGGTACGCGATGAAACCGGTACAATTTCTATTTGACCAGTTGATAAGATGTCTTGATCTTTAACCTTTTTCCTTGGAACTTGGCTTATTTTTCTTTGTACTTGGTGTTACCATTGCAATTATCCCTGTACCGTGAAATGTACCATGCCCGTCGATAGCTCGGAGATTATGGTCGAGGTTATCCAAACCATACTGTGTAAACTCACCATTAAAATCCTGGATTGTAGTCCCTTGGCTTACGGCTGCATTTCGTTTGAATGAGAGGACTTCTTCATATGACGAACAGAAACCAGCATGATTAAACGTGTCTATTAAAAAACGCGAGGCAAAGCTGTGATGGAGTAAAACACCCATTCCAATCTGTAAAGGTGCAAGCAAAGCACGAGGACGAGTTGACTGCATAATCGCTTGACCAACAAAAGCTACTTTCGGAGATGTGTCTTTTCCTGAAAACAGTTGATTAAGAAGAAGCTGAAGTGTTGGGGGTAAGAATTCAAGATTTTTGTCAATGTCACTGTCGATTAACGGATATATGTCGTTTGGTGTTTCAATACATTTTATGTCACTACGTAAAAAGTTTTGCTGCTGCTCTTATAACATTCAGTTTCTCATCTTCAGGATTGGAATTTTCTTTCTGCTGCATGTGGAATTCTTCTAGTATAGACGCAGCAGTTCTTCTGAATGTCACAATACTTGGCATGCCTGGTTGATTTGTGATAATCACATTATCCCTAAAGTGCTCTAGAATCCTTTTTTTTCATGTAGCGGTTGATATATGCGGTACTATCAGTCGCGGACTCCGCCAAATACTCCTCCATCTTTTTTATTAAATCTAATACAGTAACTTGGTCATCAATGTTTTCTAAATATTGAGTTACCTTTAAAAATGCATCGTTGGCAGTGTTGTTGATTGGTCGTCCTGATTTGCGCTTTTTGAGCGATGGTTGGTCATTAAATGGCGCTGGAATTCTCATTTTTGTCCTGAAGTTTGTACTGCATAGATGATGATACATTGCGTCAGCTGCCGGTAGGTCATACACATTTTGGATCCTTGATTTTACGGACTCGGCCCACTCATCGCATCTCACTTTGCAAGCATTCAAGATAGTGTCTTGAATGTCCATAGTCCTAACAGTGCAAACAACACGCCCCCTATTGCGCTCTTGTTCTTGATTAATTTCATTTCCGCAAAACAAGCAATCTCTTCTGAAATCGAACTGAACTAAATTTTGTGAGCGTAGGGTTCTTGGTACGGGATGACGCTCTTCCTTCTGACGTAGCGATTTAGAAATATATGATGGATTTGTATATCGTTTCCTAAATGCTATGTGAACGCTGTCACCTTCACGGACGTCAACTGTATCGCCTCTTTCTTTACTAGCTCGGTTTATACCATCTATCCCTTTAGATGTTAGAGCCACGCCGTTGTTCACAATTGATTCTTTACATATTGCACAGTACTGACGCAGAATTTGATCCATCCTATAATGATTCACAAGCAAAATAGTGTTCGACAACACAAAAAAGCCTGGTTTTATTTACTGGTTTATGCGATATTTTACAGCCCTAATGTATCTATGGCTTTGAACGCGGTATTATAATGCAAACATTGTATTTGGTAATTAGGTCGCTAATTATAGCCCCCTCTTGTTAGTTTTAACTTAAATTATTGTGACCCACAATATTGACGTATTCATTCATTGTAAAATGTAATGGCAATTAAATAATACATTGTAGCGAGAGACTTGCCGAGCGGAAATCGAATACGTGTGATAAAAATTAATGCCCAACATAAAGTTCTGATTAGAGCCATAGAAATAGACCAAAGAAAAAACAAATTGTAAAATTTAAATTTATTGTGACGTTTCGTCTTTACTCAAGACATCTTCAGACAAAATAATAGATAGGACGTTAAGACAAGATATTATATTTACAAAAAGGTGTTAAATTACTACTAACGGAAGCGGTGTCGAATGGATACATGATAAGGAAGTTTGGAGGTGAGATGAAGAGAAATTAAAAGAGGTTAAGTGGAATGGAGTTTCCTTGCACATTAAGTGAAGGCTTGTGTTTATTGATTAGAAGGCTTTCATGGATGGAGAGTTCATAAGTATCGTTGGAAGAGGAAATTATTTTCAAGTCGTCTAAGTTGGGGGTGTGTCCAGTTTCGTTAATGTGAGCAAGAATGCTTGATGATGCTGGGTGGGAAACTTGGTTGCCTGTAAGGGGGGATATTCCAAGTGCTCCGAAAATCTGGTGTGTAGCTGACGTGTGGTTTGACCCACATACGAAGCGTTGCAGCTTCGACACTTGAATAAATAGACTACACCAGATCTCAGAGGTTTGGGAATTTTGTCCTTAAAGGGGAAGAAAGAAGAGATGCGTTGAGAAGGGCGGAAAACAAATTTAATGGATATATGTGGGAAGGCTGCAGCACAAAGGTTATTGATTTGTGTGCGAATTTGAAGGGAGTGTATGCCGGTGAAAGGAAGACAGAAATAGATGGGCATTTTGTGAGCAGTCAAGACAGGTGGTTTAGGGGCAAAGGTGTTGTTAAGGAAGCGACGTGTGATTTGGTCAATTTCCTTCACGTATAATATCAAGCATTCTTGCTCACATTAACGAAACTGGACACACCCCCAACTTAGACGACTTGAAAATAATTTCCTCTTCCAACGATACTTATGAACTCTCCATCCATGAAAGCCTTCTAATCAATAAACACAAGCCTTCACTTAATGTGCAAGGAAACTCCATTCCACTTAACCTCTTTTAATTTCTCTTCATCTCACCTCCAAACTTCCTTATCATGTATCCATTCGACACCGCTTCCGTTAGTAGTAATTTAACACCTTTTTGTAAATATAATATCTTGTATTAACGTCCTATCTATTATTTTGTCTGAAGATGTCTTGAGTAAAGACGAAACGTCACAATAAATTTAAATTTTACAATTTGTTTTTTCTTTGGTCTATTTCTATGGCTCTAATCAGAACTTTATGTTGGGCATTAATTTTTATCACACGTATTAAATAATACATTCATTAACTCATTGTCTTCAAGTTATCTATTTTGCTTACCTTGAGGAGAACAAAGAAACGTCACATTTTGATGCCAATAATGAGTTAAAGCTTCAATTTGAAGTATTGAAAGGGAAGTCACATTAAATATAATAAATATCCATCTAAACACGTGCAAAATATACGTAAACAAACGTACTTCAAACACGCGTTTGTCTAAAAAACTACCAAGTCAGCGAAAATTAGTACCCAAAACAGCAAGATCAGCATTTTTGACGTAAATAAAGGACAAAATATTAATTAATTTACAAAATATCATTATCCACATGTTTTTAATCTATAATATTTATATTTGTGCTTTACTAAGTGTTCTAAAAGGATAAAATCTAAAACATTAATTTTTGAGCCTCGTTTCCATGTCGCTCATATTTTCAATCCAAATGCCTCAATTAAAACGTAATTTACACGATGTTGCCGTGCTAGGATTTTGTGGGACTTTCGATATGTTGTAAAGGGATATCAAATATACCAAAATAAGTTGGAATTTCTTTTGTGGAAATTTGTTCAAGCTTAGAGTGTTTTTGGTCGTAGATTGACTGGACTAGATGTCTTGAGATCATATTTACAAAATGCATTTTCAAAACCAATTCTTACAAAAAGAAATTTTTCATACTGCATGCAACAATTCATCGCATAAAAACAACAATCAACACAGACTGAGGAGAATTAAACATATGCTACAATTATTGTCAAAATTTTTATTACAGATTGTCGTCTGTTAACCAAACAATACCCAAACTTAGACGTATGTAAACAAGTCGCCATGGGAACATTATCTAATTATAATTACTAAGTCATTAAATATAAAAATAATAAGAGAGCGTTATAGCTATAGTGGTAAATTTGAACATTTAAGACAAGATTAGCTTTATTAATGCAAAGAGCTTCTTTTATTTCAAGAGCAAAATTTGAGTAATTGGTGTCAATGATTTTAAATAAAGAGACTGAAAATTTAATTTTAAAAGAAGAGGCCTGTATAGTATGTCATATGTTGAACAAAACTTCTTTTTTTGAAACTTTGCTGGCTACTTAAATCCTTAGCTTGATTACCAAAGGATTCTTGTTAGATGGACCCAGAATAGTTCTGGGTCGAACTTACAAATGCTCTACGTCACCATTGTAGTTTCAAACGTTGAATTTTACAAAAGCCAAACGCATTTGAAAGAAAAGAAAATTTAGAATTTTTTCTTATCATTTCTATTAACTTTAATGCATTCAACAGATGTAACATGCGTTGACATTTAAAATGAGACTTGAATTATTGCACTAGCAATTCAATTCCTGTCGTACAACATTAAATGTACCCTTACAAATATGTTATGTATTTTGATTTTGTAGGTTTAAAGACTGGATTTCAAATTTGTTTTCCGAGAACGGCGATAAAGTCCTTGGTTTTCTTGGAGTAAAGTGCTTATACGAGTTGCAAGACAAAGATTTCATGAGCTCAGCTTGCACAGAGTTAAAGAATTTTTCTCAAATATTGAAAATTAATTACGTTTCTTTTACGCCTGTTGATTCAAACGCATTGTTTGAATTTCTATCCGAATGTGAACACATAACACGTGTTTCTTTTGAAGATTGCAAGTTTCTTGATAATCATAGCTTTCTTCCTTTAAAAAACTATTTGTCAAGTGGGAGAGCGGAAATTTTGATTAACTTAAAGTTTTGTCGTTGTACTTTAGGCAATCTTTTCAGTAAGCATTTTATTGAAGCTTTAAAGAGTGAGAATTGCAAACTAACTAAGTTGGAACTTTTAGTTGCCAAAATAGGTGATGAAGGTGCTAAATGTTTTCGTGAAGCTTTGATAAGTCAGAGTTGTAAACTTACTGAATTAACTCTTCGGTCTGTCAGTATATTTGATGAAGGTGTAAAATATCTTAGTGAAGCTTTGAAAAGTGAGAATTGTAAACTTACTACATTGGATCTTAGTGTTAACTGGATAGAAGATAAGGGTGTGAAATCTCTTAGTGAAGCTTTGAAATGTGAGAATTGTAAACTTACTGAATTGCAGCTTAATTATAATTACAAAATAGAAGGTGAAGGTGCGAAATCTCTTATTGAAGCTTTAAAAAGTGAGACATGTAAACTTACTAAATTGCATCTTAATTCTAGCAATATAGGTGACGAAGGTGCAAAATATTTTAGTGAAGCATTAAAAAGTGAGAGCTGTAAGCTTACTGAATTGCATCTTCATTGTAACAACATAGGAGATGAAGGTGCTAAATATCTTAGTGAAGCTTTGAAAAGTGAGAATTGTAAACTTACTGAATTGTATCTTTATGATAACAGTATAGGTGATGAAGGTGCAAAATATCTTAGTGAAGCATTGAAAAGTGAGAATTGTAAACTTACTAATTTAAGTCCTGATAGAAACCAAATAGGTGATGAAGGTGCAAAATATCTTAGTGAAGCTTTAAAAAGTTATAATTGTAAACTTACTAGTTTAAATCTTAATAGCAACCAAATAGGTGATGAAGGTGCAAAATATCTTAGTGAAGCTTTAAAAAGTTATAATTGTAAACTTACTAGTTTAAATCTTAATAGCAACCAAATAGGTCATGAATGTGAAAAATATCTTAGTGAAGCATCGAAAAGTGAAAATTGGAAACTTTCTCAATTGTATATAAAGGGTTACAATATACGAAAGAATGTTTGAAAGAATGGGTTGCAATATAGGTGATTAAGGTGCTAAATATCTTAGTAAAGCATTCAAAGTTAGAATTGTAAACTTATCAAATAGGATATTGGTAATAACAAAATAGCAGCTAAAGGTGTGATCTATCTTGGTGAAGCTTTGAAAAAAAAGATGTAAGCTTACTGAAATAAATATCCTTATAAACAATATGGGTGATGAAGGTGCAAATAATCTTAGTGAAGTTTTGAAAAGTGAGAATTGTAAACTTACTGAATTGTCACTTGATTATAACAATATATGTGATGAAGGTGCGAAATCTCTTAGTGATACTTTAAAAGTGAGAATTGTAAGCTCACTAAATTAAGCATTGATAGTAACAGTATAGGTGTTGAAGGTGATAAATATCTTAGTAACACATTATAAAGTGAGAATATATCTTCCAACAAGTGATTTTTATTTTTAGTTATATTTCCTACAAACGATTTTTCTCTTTGCATGATACATCATAAAAATAGTAAAAATGTATATAACTTTCTGCTTCAAAATTTGTAATTTAAACATTTATATGTTTTATCAGCAAAATAAGTAAAAAATTGTTCACAGTGAACAATATATCTTTCTTGTGACTTTCCTTTGATAAAGTGTTTCGTGATTTAAAAACTTTTTTCAAATCTCTTTACATAGCTATGTTAATTCATTTGCAGAGAAAAAAGATAGTTTGATTAGTAATCATCTATTGTTCATTTATTTCTTTTGCTCTTTTTGCATTATTTACTGCAAAGAGTAAAGACTTTAACAAACAATGTTGGAATTAAATCATGTTATAATCACTTTGCAATTATCAAAAGAAATTTCAATAAACATGAACACATTGAATGTTTTCCTTAAAAAATTCCTTTCCAGTCAACAGACTTATGAATAAATTCCGTCTAATAGTCATAAAAAAGAAATATTTTTTTAGTTAAAAATAAACAAGATATATAATTGAGGTAGTCTTCTGAAGAATTCGTTATTGCATGACCGTAAAGAAACGTGCTCCATATGTGAACATTTTTATACAGACATTGTAATTAACTTTTTTTTTTCTGAACTTATCCTGTATACTTATCCTATAAACTGTCGTATGTATTCTTTGTAAATGACAAAACTTAAATTAAATGAAGATATAATCTTCGCACTTTGCTGGACAATTTAAGGAATTGTCTCATAAACCTAAAAATTCAGGTGACTCATCGTGATTCGAAGCCATGACCTCTGCGTTGCCAGTGCAGTGCTCTGACCAACTAAACTATAAAGTCACAGAGTGGTGAGCAGGTCAATTTTGTTGGGCTCATGTTTTCTCGTGAAAGGAATGTCATATGAAAGAATGTTTTTATGCAGTGCGGTGTTTGAGGTAAAATGAATATATGATCTTCGTACTTTGCTGGACAACTTCAGCAATTGTCTCATAAACCTGAAAAATTCAGGTGACTCAACGCAATTCGAACCAATGACCTCTGCGGTGCCGGTGCAGTGCTCTAACCAACTGAGCAATGAAGTCACACAGTAGTAAGCAGGTCAATTTTGTTGGGCTCATGTTTTCTCGTGAAGGGAATGTCATATGAAAGAATGTTTTTATGCAGTGCGGTGTTTGAAATTAAAGGACGATATGATCTTCGCACTTTGCTGGACAATTTAACCAATTTTCTCATGAACCTGAAAATTTCAGGTGACTCAACGGGATTCAAATCCATGACTTTTGCGATGCCGGTGCAGTGCTCTGACCAACTAAGCTATGAATTCACACAGTGGTGAGCAGTTCAATTTTGTTGAACTCACGTTTTCTCGTGAAGGGAATGTCATATAAAAGAATGTTTTTATGCAGTGCGGTGTTTAAGATTAAATCAAGATATGATCTTTGCACTTTGCTGCACAATTTAAGTAATTGTCTCATGAACCTAAAAAATTCAGGTGACTCAACGGGACTCGAACGAATGACTTCTGCGTTGATGGTGCAGTGCTCTGAGTAATTGAGCTATGAATTCACACAGTGGTGAGCAGGTCATAGGTTCGAATCTCTATATCTACTTGACATTTACAATCATCGCACCACTTGACATTGGAATTTCGAAAACATTTGATCTTCAAACGTCTTTCACTTGTTTTGACAAGATGATTTCAAACTTCCAAGAAACTTCACTTATAAAGAACATTGAATCAAGATGTTTGAGACAATACCAAAATGAGACTTGGGATAATATTTATGTGGTATTCTTCAATGTCGTTTTTCCCTTACTTTGGAGTATGATCTAAGGACAGTCTGTGAGCCATCGACTTGAAAACATTGATAAGTTCTTGTCAGAAAGAAGCAGTGAAGTCAGAAAGGTTGCATCTAGTTCTTGGGCATGTATTTATTACATCATTTATTTGATTGGACGTTTGATCGGTTTGTTGATATTTGTTACAGTACTCTTTCCAGGCATGTTTCCCATTGATTATACTTGTTCTTGGCGTCCAACAACAAACGAAAAATATTCGTTCAACAGTATAATTCTTTTTCCATATAACGAGACATTCGTTAATTGTGAAATTCGCGATGGTAACAGTGAATGGTGGAATAAATTTGTTGTAGCTGTTGATGTTTTATCGATAATAATGACGATATGTCAGCTAATATACCTATTAAATGAGGCCATTAATGACAATTTTTTCACATCAAATAAGGAGTTTTTCACGGAATACCTCTTTTCAAAACGTGCAGAATTTCGAAATTGGATAAAAGAAATAAAAAATGAGTTTCACTTCAACAAATTATTTGATATCCCCGATAACGTAGGCAATGCACAAATGTCTATGCAAAATCTTGAAGATATTTATGTCAACGTCATAATGCAAGCAGAAAGACAATTAAGTAAAGCTTACCCAGAAACGCATGAAAGGCACGAGATCCTTCATTGTCATTTCAAACTTAATGAAAATGCATAAAACCTAAAAAGAGCAACTGACATGTTTAAGTCAAATCCAAAAAGCAAGTTGCATCCTATTTCCATTTTAGTCATCGGAAGGCCAGGAATTGGTAAAACTATGTTGACAAAAAAACTTATTCATGAATGGGAGACAAATGAAGACGAATTTTGGCGAGATAAGCTGGTCATTTTATTGCAATGTCGTTCTATTGAAAAGAAAGACATTACTTTTGAAGAAATGATAAGAAATTGCGTTGGACTTTCATTTGAACAGTTTTCAGGTATTTACGAATTTATAATGTTAAATCCTGAAAGAACTGTTCTTGTCGTCGACGGTCTTGATGAATTGCCTTTAGATAATGGAGTTCTTCAAACTGACAACTCAGGGTCCCCTAATGAAAAAAGGGCCGTCATTAGACACTTAAGTAAGCTTGTTGAAGGTCAACTATTGCCTTATGTTACTGTTCTTATTACATCACGACCCACTGCTGAACGTAAATTTATAGATATGAAAGATATGAAATTCACAAGAACATTTGAAATCTTGGGCTTTTTTGAGGATGAGATAAAAGTATTCGAGGAAAAGTTTTGTCATGAAGATAGGAATATCGCTGACCGTATTCTAAATAAGATTGAAAATTCTCTTGAACTTCGCAGCTTTTGTTATATCCCTATTAACACTAAAATTGTTTGTATGACATTAAAGGAATGTTTTGCAAATGATGAAAACTATAGTCCAAAGACTATGTCTGAATTGTACAATAGAGCAATTAAAGTTTTACTATGGCAAAGCCATCCACTTCTCAGGGGCAAGACTACACCAAAGGATTACTAAACAATTCCTTTACCATCCAAGCTTGATAATGATCTACAAGAAATAAAACATGTTGCCATGGAAGGGCTTAAAGACGGACGCCTAATTTTTGAAAGAGACACTAACAGTAACTTTGAAAATCTGGAAAACTCTGGCATTTTCAATAAGATTTGTGACAAAAAAAATCTTTACTGTTTTCTTCATTTGACTCTTCAAGAGTTTCTTGCAGCGTTGTATATTGTTGACGATTGGCAAAACATTGGAAAGTTTTTGGATGATCAGGCTAAAGATCCTAAATGGCATTTGGTAATCGAATTTGCTGCTGGTTTGGTTGGAAATATAAAGAAAATGACGGGAAAAGATATCAGCTTTATTCTAAAGAGGTATTAAATTTATGATCATTGAAAATGTTTTATTATAGCTTCATATAGTTTGTGACTATATGTATTTTTTTCCAAATTAATTCATCATCACCATAATCTTAACATTAACTTTGTCAGCCAGATAAGCAATTATTAAAGTAACGCCTCCTCAATAAGTTTAAACTAAAACGTGGCGTTGAGTTTGGAGGAAATAATTTCGTGATCGTTAGTTGTATACTTCATAACATGGTTTTTACATGTTTGTGCATGTAGATTACTGTAGATCACTGATCACCTTTTTCTCTACCTTCATTCGAGTATTTGGATGCACTGGGAAGTTATTTAAACAGCAAATAAAAGACTTCAGCATAATGCACACTAAGATACTAAAATATCAAGCCCATAAAATAAACCTTTTGGTCAAACTTTAAGTGAAAAAAAAACCCTGAAAAAAAACAAATCAAGTGGATTCTCCAAACACTACGTACCAATAGTGTAGGACTATTTTCGAAATTGTTTCAAAACGAACAGAAGCAACAAGCGAAACGGATGTAAACTATAACTTAAAAGAGTAATTATAAAGTTAAGGTTTTTACATTGATTTTCATCAAAAAATTGCATGCCGAATCCCAAATACACACATACATTTTGTGTATTTGGGAGTGGGAAACTGAGAAATTTTCGAAAAATCAGTCAATTTTGGTAAATCTCAGCGGCAAAAGACGAAATAGAAAGGTTTGTAAAATTGTTCTTTTTTTTCAAGATAAGACATGAAGACATGTCTTATTTGTAAACATAGAATAGTTAATTTGATTAAGCATTCGATTATTTAAGTTAATAGCTTAAAACCATATGAAAGATCTTATCATACAAGACCAAAAGATGCAGATAACACGTATGCTGCAAAGTCACTAGTAAAAGACTGTTTAGCCATATTTAAGACAAGAAGTTGTTTTAGATGAGACATAGCCGAAATACTTCCACTGATTTCATCAATGCAAATTCTCGTTTCTTACTGATGTATTTGTACACAATCAGCTTTCTTCATAATAATTTAAAAATAAAGAAGAAACTTGAATTGGAGAAGAAAATTGAGGAGTCATGTTAAAGTTATACCCATGCGAATAGAGGAGTCAGCTTGCAGTGCTCCAAAACCCTGTCCACACTAATAGCTACGTTTTCCTTTGAAAACGCATACTTTTTGATGCGTTTTTGCCTTACGTCCACACTGAAACGCTCAAAAACGGATAAACTGCCAAATGACAACGCATCTATTTGAAAACGAAAGTGGAGCAATTTGAAAAACGCATCTATTTGAAAACCAAAGTGGAGAAATTTGAAAACGCGTGCGTTTCGTTTTGATATGTACGGTCAAAAAGGAGCCTTTTAAAAACGATGACGTCAATGACTTCCTGAAATGGCGCAAATATCACTTGATATCACAATAGCCGTGGGCGTTTTATGTATAAGCATGCGCAGTTTAATATACCACACATTCATCGTTTTCAAGTGTTTTAGTGTGGGCAACCAAAAACGCTATGAAAACACTGCTGTGAATTTAATGAAAACGATTCGTTTTTATTTCAACAAAATCGCATCGCTCTGAAAACGCATTAGTGTGGACAGGGTCTAAGTGATAAGCATTCTCATAAATAGTGCAATTAGATTTTTACACCAAAGTAATGATGTTTTTTTCTGTAATGTGTTGCTGGAGAGCTAGGACTCCTTTGTATCGTTATCCATTTAATAACTAAAAAAAATTACCATAAAATTTCAACTTACTGGTGAATCGGATTTAATTTTTAAATTCTATTTCGTAATTGGACACATTACTACGGAGTCATTTGAGATATTCAAACGAGTTATAACATAATCCCAAATATACTGACAAGTGTTACATGTAACATTACTAAAGAGAAAGTTTATGGTTAGCCTTTTGAAGCATTTAATAATGGAAGCTAAATTCAGCTTTTGATAAAAAAATGGCTTATCCTAGTATATTTGAAAAGTGGAATCATTTGTCCACCCAGTTGCTTCAAAAATTGCATCATTTGATAAAGGTGCTTTAATCGATTAAAGCACCTTATCGCCAGATGCGATATCGCATCTGGCGAGGATGCTTCCTTTATGCTCTAGCAAGAAAATTCATTTATTCCAGCTAGCTTTAGAACTGCTTTAGGCCATCTCGAGATCGTGTCCGTTCTTACAACATCCATTAATCACTGTTTTGAATTACGTCTAATAGTTTTTGTTGTTCAGTGTACACAGAAAGTAGTTTAAATTCACTAAGTGCTGCAGCTGGATCATATTTTCATTTAAAATGTTCAGGCCTAAACGTTTTTAACAAGTGTTGGAAGAGAAATATTTACTTCTTATGCTCGAGAAACGTATGCTATTAAGTGATAATGCTTTAAGAATTAGGCATATATTAGTCAACATCATGGTCAGTTGAAGTGTTAGTCTTTTCATTGCCAAAGTATTATTTTGCAGGAAAATTTTTCAATAGTATCACTCTACTTCCCAAAATTCTGATGTACCCTCTTAACGACGAATGATATTTGAACACTCTTTGAATCTACCGGTGTACCCCAATACTAATACTGTCTGTTAAAGTTACCAGCGATGATGGTACACTCCTTGAAGTACTTAGAGCACTGTAACCAAGTCTTCTTTTGAAAAAAATTGCAGGAAAATTCATCCTTTCTTTTACAGTGGTAGAAAAGAGATTGATATTCCATGGATGACAATATTGTCTCCATTCTTTTTAAATATCGTTCATATTGCTTTATTCTACCTGCTCTTAATGTGTCGATTGCGGGAGTTGTCGGTCTTTAAACTGTTTCCTGATAGGTAACACAATATTTTCTAGTGAGAAGAATGTTTTTCTTATGGGCTACTGTAAAGAAATATGTTATTGTTTGTGCCAGCATGATGGCTGACTGCATTAGCGTTACCGATCTTAAGATTTGAGGACAACAGGTAAAATGTTGTCTGAAAAAAGAGGTCTGAAACTAGTTTTGGTGACGTCGTCGTTTGACATCGTTTTCGTCTTCGCGTGAACTTTGAGTTTCTCAAACATTTGCCAAGAAGAGCAAGACGAGTATTGTATTGTTTTGGAACGACTAACATCATGACTACATATAAAAAGCCAAGGCAGTATTTGATAAACTCTTATCTCTTTGATGTATTTGCCGAAGAAGAATTTGTTTTAGTCTACGCAAATTTTTGTAAAAATCCCAAATTTCCATTCAAAGTGTATAAAAGATTTCATATTATCTATTCATATATCAACATTAACAACGTTGAATTTTGCTAGCCCACAGCTGATCTTGAGAACATCAACAAACAGTTTATTATTTACATGCAAACATGTACTTCCTTTAAAATTTCAGTTTGTTGTTTTACAAATGAAGTATTTGAGCCTTTTTATGGTACCGTTCATTAGTCGCATCATTAAATCATTCCATCTTTTACTTAGTAGCGAAATTTATATTTTTACTTACATTTTTTGTTGAAGGAAAAAGATGCATGTATGTTACGATTATCCGGTTTATTACAAGATCTTGAGGAACGCTGATTTACACCTAGCCAGCATATACCCTGCATGTTCATCTTTAGACTACTCTGAGAAATGGTGTACTCACACAGCCCATGAGAGACTTTTATGTATTTATATGAGTAGAGTTTTTGTTTCAGGGGAATGGCTGTTTGGGATATTGGGATATTATCAACTACTTTAGGTTTTTGGACATCAAAAAAATATGTGAAAATAGGGCTTAGCTGTAGTAGATAGTTGTACATTTTTGTGCACTGCTATGTAGTGCACTGCAACTCACATGTGAATGGAAATTTTATGGAAATTTAACTGTTTTTGCCTTGAGCCTCCGCAAAAATTCGTGACTTCTTTGTTTAATCGATAGACGGAGTATTCAAACCTTTTGATATTCCACATTGGCTAGTGGTACATCAGGGGTGGATCTAGGATTTTTCAAACATCAGTCATAAAACGTCGGAGGCGCTCCGCATCTGGGGTCTGAAGCATTCTCCCCTAAGAAATTTTGAATTTCAGAACCTTAAAAATGCCATTTTCAGCGTTTTAGAGCAATAGAAAATGTATTTTGTTTGCATCGTTTTTGCGAAAAAACAACACATTTTGCTTACGTTTTTAAAAAAAAAAATGAAGTGAACAATACTTGAATGTTTTGCCAAATATATGGCTCATTAGCATGTCTAGGAACGTAAAATTTATTTTACAATAATGCTATTCAAAAACAGATGTAGTCTTTAAAAATTTCTACCAAGTTGTCATGCATAGAACCCCCTAGAGACCCCATTCAAACCTCTATGTAATGAGTTAAATTAGAAATTTGGTACGACAAGTTAGAGTTCATAGATAGAGAAAAGCTCTGACTTCAAACCATGCAAGTTTATTGTAACCCTTTATCCATCTCCACAACAGTGCCAGCAAATTCACCTTTTGAGAAAAAACTGAAAATTTTTTTCTGCCAAAGATTAAGCAAAAATTATCAAAGTGAAAATTTGCAGTTAAGGACAGCTTAATGCCATAAATGTTTATTAGGCATTTCACTAGACTATATCTTCTCCAAGGTGTGCTATATAGCAATCACTAGTAGCATTGTATTATCAAATACAAACAGAATGTAACCAACATGTCTTTAATTATATAATTACATGAATATTAAAATTGGTTCATGTGTCATGCTTACTGGCTATGATAAATATCTTTTCATATGATCAAACCTCGTTTAAATGCAAATCTGAAATAATTTAGTTTAGAAATTATAATGATCATCAGAAAAATTACCTAGTGATCATGAAAAATACTTTGCTGTTTTGCCAAATTTCAAGGTTTATCTGCATACATAGGAAGACATTTTTACTTTATAGAAAATGCTTTTCATACATCAATAGCCCTTTGGAATTTATGGCAAACAATCTGGTATGAGCCGTAGATTAACACACCTTTACATCTCTACATAAGGTGTTCAGTTAGAAAAGGT